GAATAAAGAAAGTAGGGCTTTACTATTCAGATTATGATTAGGATTCCTGATTCTATAAATAGGGGATTAGAAAGCAATTATAACCCGTACCAACCATAGTTATATTACATGAAAATATTCCCGAGAAATTCCCCACCACAAAGCCTAGGGAGATCAATCGGATGGAAATCTTAGAGAAGAACCTTAGTAGCCAAGGATTCTGATTAAGGCTAAGAGGTAACTGATGTCTCAACAAAATCTATTTTCCTTGCTACAATCTCTTTCATTGGCTCCTTCGATATATGATTCTGTGTTTGCATCTTGATAAGGATTTTCTTGAGATTGATATGACGAATATGAGATAATCTTGATGTTTATGAGATGATCTTCATGTTTACATGCTAATCTTGATACTTATGTTGTAACACCCCGTGTTACGACCCCTAATTATTTAATCACTTACCCTAAAAAGAGAATTAAAAACCCATTAATCAACTAAGAAAGGTCCACCATAGTCCATAGGCCGACATCCCTATAACTAACTCCTTAGTCCTATAAGGAATAGAATTAGCAAGCCCATAGTATTTAGACCCCAATTAGGACTTTCGGGAATATATATATATATATATATATATATATAGGGTCATAAGAGGCACCTAGATCTTACACCACAATAATCTCTCACCACACAAGAAGTTCCAAGAATCCCCTTAGGAGAAATCAAAAAAGAAGAAAGCTTAAAGAAAGACCCTTCATAGCCAAGGAAATTAATTAAGGCTAAGAGGTAACTCATGTCTCAACAAAACCTATTTTCTTCGCTATAATCTCTTTCCTTGGCCTCCCTCTATATTCTTGTGTCCTGATTGAATTCTTCTATGATAATTATGTTATGTTCTTGATGATTGATAAGATGATTTATATGCTTTCTTGATAATCTTGATGATCTTGACGTTAAAAAGAAGTTCTTGATTATGATATGATGATTCTTGACGAATCTTGATATTTTCTTGATGTTAAAGATAAAATATATTTTGATGATTTGGGTGGGATTAGAGCCCTAGGTTGGATTGGGAATTTGTATTGTGATGTTCTTGATTTATATTTGGGTGGGAATTTTCATGTTTGGGTGCTGTTTATATTTAGAAGTCGTAATAGGATAAGTCCTACATGATTCTTGCTTTTGATTCGTTAATTGCTTACGTGATGTCGTTATTTGCGTTTAAAAGTGTCTAAGCATGGTTTCGGGTTCCACGAAGGTTCCCGGGATGATTATATGAGTAAAGAGTCAGTGGAGGGTAGGTGGGGGTGGGGGAACCCACCACCTACCCACTGCCCAAAGGGGCACTGCCCGGCAGCGGGCAGCCACCGGGCAGCCGACTGCCCGCCGGCAACCCGCTGCCCGGAACAGTGCCCTCCGGCGGGCAGCCGGCCGTTGACCCCCACCCACCGGCTACCCGCTGGTCCGTAGCCCACCCCAGGTCCCCGGCTTCCCCGTTTGATGTTCCCCATTCCCCGTGGTGTCCCAACGGACCCCGTTTGTCATGCTTGTGTCTAGTTTGATGTTTCGGGTCCCACTCGTAGGCTAGATGAGTCTTAGAGAATGCATGCTAATTGAACTGGTAACCCGTTGACCTAGGTGGAATTTGTATGAACCCTTAGGACTATTCGTAGTATGTGAATGATCACACGTAAGTTTATTTATATGTCTTTTTCCTCCCGATATGCTATTACGTGCTCCTATGTATTATGTGTTGCATGATCCCCCATTTTGGTTATAGGCCAATTGGGTGGTTCCCGGACTAAGGTTCGGAAGTCGATTGAAGACCGAATGGATTATTCCCGGACTAAGGTTCAGAAGTCGGTTGAAGACCGAATGGATTGTTCCCGGACTAAAGGTTCGGAAGTGGCTGAAGGCCAAATGGATTGTTCCTGAGCTAAGGCTTAGAAGTGGCTAAGGCCAAATTGATTCACTTCTTGGACTACATGTCTAAATTATGAGCCTCGGTGCTATGACCCACCAGACCTGAACGCGTCAGGACGGTGTGTAGGGCCAATAAGCCGAGGAAGGCTGTAGTCCACCGACCTGAGTAATCAGGCGGTGTGTAGGGCTACGGCTGGCTGGGATCCACCGAATGATGGGACAGCGATGTGTAGGGCCATAGTCTCCGAGGACCTTCGCCCACCGACTGAGTATAGCTCAGCGGTAAGCCAGGCTTGATCCGCTATGGTCCACCGACTGTGCGCATCGACGGTGTGTAGGGTCGTAAGTCCCTCCTTGTAAAGGGGATCACGGTCCACCGACTGTGTGCGTCAACGGTGTGTCGGATCGAGGTCCGACGTTGAGTTCGTCTGCGGTTCTCAAAGGGTTGGTTGCGATCAACTCCCCTCATACCACGGCACTGAGGTAGGGTGCTACGGGGCCGTGTTAATGCTATAAGCATTAACCCTCATGTTCGGGGCATGCGATTGGTCCCGTGGCGCCATCAACGATTATGTGCTATGAATGATGATTGAATGATGATATGATGGAATTGAAAAGTGAACTGTGACCTGTGATGCGTATTTCCTATGATGTTATCTCTACTTAACTGTCTATTACTGTTTTATCTTCCTGCTTCAAAATGGTTTTTCATATATCTATATATATCTACCTATAATGTATTTCAATGCGTTAGAGTGGGTTACCAGCATCTCTCGCTGAACAGATATATTTGGCTTTCAGGCACAGATGAGTAGACACTGGAGCGCGCTAGAGATTTGAAGCGTAGAGTAGATAGTTTCCCTTTCGGCCTGCGTGTCATGCTTATGTATTGACATTATTGAGGATTTCGGTTAGTTAGCCTGTGCACCTGAGTTCTCTAGCTCAGGTGTGGCATAGCACCCCATACTCTTACGTCATATTTCTGGGATTTAATGAGAATTTACCTTTATTACATAAGTCTTAAAAGTTTTAAAATTTCAGGGTGTTACAGTTGGTATCAGAGCCTAAGGTTGAACCCAGGATAAGACCCTTAAGACCGGACTTTAGGACATTAGGCTAGAACTCTAGGAAATTAGGAACATAGGACTCAAGAATCTTAGGACGCGCAGTGGGATCGTGGAACCTACACACACAACTCCCCTCCACTCATAGCATCAAGGTAAGGATGCAAAGTAACATCGGCCTATGCACTCCCAGGATGGCACTAACAAGGAAACTAGCAAAGGCAACAGGACCCCACACAAATGAAGCCCTAATCCAGAATCTACTACGTCTGGCCCAAGTTGCCCAGACACTGAGCAACACCATCCTTCGGCCGTCATCCCCAAACAGAAACTTGGAAATCCATCACCAAATCTTAGAACATCAACCACCTACCTTCTCAGGGGAAGAAAACCCCACAGTCCTCGAAGAATGGATCAAGACCTTTGACAAGATATTCGAAACAACGGGAAGCCCAGAAAACCACCAAGTAAAAATAGCCTCCTTTTACTTCAAACACGAGGCTGACACTTGGTGGGTCCACGAGAAACCCAATTACGAGCAGAATCCCAAATTCAACTGGAAAACACTAAAAACACTATTACGAGAACAATTTTACCCCAAGCACGTAAAGGCAGTCGTGTACGGAGAGTTCGTTCATCTAAATCAAGGAACAACTCCAATCACAGAACACTACCGGCAATTCCTCAACCTGGCACGCTTCGCACCCGAACTAGTACCTACAGAATCAATCAGAATCAAGAAATTCGTAACGGGACTCAACCCCGAAAGCCAGAGAGCCCTGGCCACGCAAGAATCGAGCACTCTCATGGAAGCCTATGCCAAGGCTTCCCAGCGATAACAAATACCAAGCAAGCCACAGGAAACACACCTGGGGCACAAAAGGGGAATCGAAGGAAGTCACGTGCACCCCCTTCGAAAATCAAAAATCGCCAGGACCTCCCCTCCCCACAAAGCCATAACACCAATCCCTTCAATGGAGGTGAAAATCACACACGAAAGAATCCTTACCATAAGCAGAGCTAAAATCGGAGATAGCAACGTAGTCTCCAGAACCTTCCTCATACACGCCACTCCAGCCACCACACTATTTGACTCAGGAGCCACCAACTCATTTATAGCAGCCGAATTCGCCACGCAACTCGGTCTAAACACCAGCACGAAAGTACAACTGCAAGTCCAAGTGGCATCCGGCGAGATTATAAAATGTGACCGCATGTACCAAGATGTAATGATCACCATCAAAGGAGTGGAATTCCCTAGCAACCTAATACAATTCAGACTAGATGGAATACAAGTAATCTTGGGAATGGATTGGTTAAAGAAATTCCAAGCATAAATCCTATGCGGCGAACAAAAAGTGGTCTTACGAGGGCCCCACGGCAAGCGGGTATCCTACCACGGGACCCACAAGAACCCGGATGTCAAAGTAGTAAACATGATGAAAATGAAGAAATACCTCACGCATGGACACGAGGCATTCCTATGCTCGGTCGAAGACCTCAATACCAAAGTAGCCGAGGCTCAAACCATTCCAGTGGTAAACGAATTCATCGAAGTCTTCCCGGACGAAATCCCCGGGGCGCTCCCAGCCAGAGAAGTCGAGTTCACAATAGAACTGATGCCGGGCGCCGCTCCCATTTCAAAACCACCCTATAGACTGGCACCTAAGGAAATGAAGGAACTAAAAGCACAACTCCAGGAATTACTAGATAAGGGATACACACGCCCCAGCACCTCCCCGTGGGGAGCACCGGTGCTATTCTTCAAGAAAAAGGATGGAAGCATGCGACTATGCATCGACTACAGAGAATTAAATCAAGTCACAATAAAGAATAAGTACCCCCTTCCTCGAATCGATGATTTGTTTGACCAACTCAAGGGAGCAGGGGTGTTCTCGAAAATCGATCTAAGGTCCGGGTATCATTAGATAAAGGTAGCCAATCCAGACATCCAGAAAACAGCATTTCGTACTCGCTACGGCCATTACGAGTTCACAGTGATGCCCTTCGGACTCACCAATGCGCCCGCAATATTCATGGACCTCATGAATCGAGTATTCCAGCCTTACCTCGATCACTTCGTCATCGTGTTCATCGACGACATTCTAGTATACTCCCAAAACAAAGAAGAGCACGAAAAGCACCTCCGCACGACCTTGCAAACTCTGAGGAAACACCAACTATACGCCAAATTCTCCAAATGCGAGTTTTGGAAAGACAACGTAACGTTCCTGGGTCACGTAATCACCAAAGAGGGAATCAAGGTAGACCCAACCAAAATCCACGCCGTCAAGGAGTGGCCCACGCCAAAGTCACTCTCAGAAGTCAGAAGCTTCGTAGGGTTAGCAGGCTATTATCGAAGGTTTGTACCCGATTTTTCCAAGATAGCCCAACCCCTCACCAGACTCACGAAAAGGGAAGCCCCCTTTCATTGGGACAACAACTGCATCACCGCCTTTCAAAGACTGAAAGAAAAACTAACCACCGCACCCGTCCTAGCCCTTCCCTCCGGGTAGAAGGATTCGAGGTTTTCAGCGATGCCTCCAAGAAAGGACTGGGATGCGTACTAATGCAAAAGGGAAAAGTGATAGCATATGCATCCAGACAACTCAAATCCCACGAAGAAAACTACCCCACCCAGGATCTCGAGCTAGAAGCCATTGTGTTCGCACTAAAAATCTGGAGACACTATCTATACGGAGTACAATGCAAGATTTATATGGATCATAAAAGTCTGAAGAAATTGACTTGGAGATCAAGCATCTATGGAAAGAAAGGAGTACATAAAATATGATTGGAGATTTAATTAAAAGCTGTATGGACGAAGTGGATGATGCTTGATATATTATGCGAAATGACTCAAGTTCGAAACTTACCATTAATAATTTTACAAGGTAAAATTTGAGAAGTCAAATTAAATTAATCTGATAAAGTTGGGCGCTAGTTTAAGCCTTGGGCGCCGATTACAAGTGGGAAGCAATTTCACTTGGGTGGCAATTGAGATGCAAGCCAAAGGAATTAGGAGCCGATTTCATAGCAGAAATTGGGAGCTAGTTCGAAGCAATTGAAATTGGGAGCCAGTTTCAGAAATTGGGAGCTAGTTCGAAGCAATTGAAATTGGGAGCCAGTTTCAGAGAAATTGAAATCAATTGAAATTGGGAGCAAGTTTCACATGAGAATCAATTCAAGATGGGAGCCAAATGTAGAATTGAAATTGGGAGCCAATTGAGGTTGTAGTATGGGATGCAATTTCACAATTCAAGAGCCAAGCAATTGAAATTGGGAGGGAGCCAGTTTCAGAGAAATTGAAATGAGAATCAATTCAAGATGGGAGCCAATGTAGAATTGAAATTGGGAGCCAATTGAGGTTGTAGTATGGGATGCAATTTCTCAATTCAAGAGCCAAGCAATTGAAATTGGGAGCCAGTTTCAGAGAAATTGAAATCAATTGAAATTGGGAGCCAGTTTCAGAGAAATTGAAATCAATTGAAATTGGGAGCCAGTTTCAGAGAAATTGAAATCAATTGAAATTTGGAGCAAGTTTCACATGAGAATCAATTGAAGATGGGAGCCAATGTAGAATTGAAATTGGGAGCCAATTGACGTTGTAGTATGGGATGCAATTTCTCAATTCAAGAGCCAATGTAGAATTGAAATTGGGAGCCAATTGAGGTTGTAGTATGGGATGCAATTTCTCAATTCAAGATGGGAGCCAATGTAGAATTGAAATTGGGAGCCAATTGAGGTTGTAGTATGGGATGCAATTTCAAGTTGGAGCCAATTGAGGTTGTAGTATGGGATGCAATTTCAAGTTGGGGACTGATTCAAAGAAGACAGGGAGATCAAATTGAATTGAGATGAAATTCAATACCAGGAGAAGTCTAGGATTCAAAGAAGACATGGAGATCAAATTGAATTGAGATGAAATTCAATACCAGGAGAAGTCTGGGAGCCAATTTCGAAGTCAAAGTCAACAAATCAAATTGGGAAGCAATTGAAAGCACCAGGAGCAATTTGGGAGCCAATTACAAGTCAAAGTCAATTGGGAGCCAATTACAATGGAGAAATTCAAATTGGGTGCCAATTACAAGCCAATTGAATTGGGTGTCAATTACAAAGGAGAAATTCAAATTGGGTGGAAGTTCAAAGCCAGTTTGAAGTCTGAGAACACGTCTGTCAATTACAAAGGAGAAATTCAAATTGGGTGGAAGTTCAAAGCCAGTTTGAAGTCTGAGAACACCCAGACGTGAGAATGAAGAAGATGAAGATGAACTTACAGTGAAAATATTCTCACAGGGGAAAATACTAGTTTAACTAGTATGGGATTAAATTGATGAATATTTTTAAATCCCAAAGATACAAAGACCACTTCAGAGCTAATCAGCGAAGCCGTTCTACACCCAGATATTCCCACTCAACGTAAAACCAGAGGAAATATCAGATGAAGTTTGAGAACCCATTTACATGGAGATGAAGCTCTAACAACGGCTAGCTTATCCTTTCTGACATCTTTGCAGAAGATAAGATAAGATCTCTGACAAAAAGATACAAGATTTCAAAAATGAGAGTGTCTCTTTCCAACGGACAGATTCTCATTACCAGCTGTAAAATGATGAAGATATGAAGACTTGAAGAGCAGAAGAGCATAACTCGAACTTGAAAAGAGATAGAGCAGTTGAGAAAATTCGAACCCATCAAAGGGGAACGAATAGAGCAATTAAGCTTGAAAGAGCATAGACCAAAAATCTTATTTGGTACAGAGCATACCAAAAATCTTCAAGTGAGAAGTGAGAAAAGAAAAAGAACTCAGAAAGCTTCAAAAGAGAAATATTCTAAGAGTTCTTAAACAGAGCAAAGCAGAGCAAAAATATCAAGTGCTTTACTTGATATATTCAAAGAGAGAAAACACTCAGAGCTATCAAGAGAAATTATTCCAGAGTGTATATCTTCATCAAAGAGACCTGCGCATCACTGAAGATCATCTACAGAGTCTCAGAAGTTGGAAGCAAGACAACACTTGTTTTGGAGCAAAACAAGAGAAGGGAGGAAAGTAGCGCGGAGCTGTGAAATCCTGGATTGTCACACGGAGCTGTGAGATCCGAAGCAACAGTGTCGGAGGCACTGGGCGTGATTGGTGTGGGCTTGGTGATCAAAGCACCAGATCACGGGATACGTTTCTACCGGAGTGTGGAAGACGGGGGGAAAGTAACGCGGAGTCGTGAAATCCTGGTATAGTAGCGCGGCGACGTTAAACCCGAAGCAGCAGTGTGGTGTCACTGGGCATGATTAGTGCGGGCTTTGTGATCAAAGCACTAGATCACGGAAATTCATTGTATCTTGGAACCAAGGAGTGGTAGATATAGTGAATTGCTCTTGGAGATAAGAGCAAGTGGAGTAGGAGGATTACACCACCTCGCGAACCACTATAATTGTCTTGTGTTCTTTACTGCTTTCTTTACTTACCGCTCTTTACATATTCGCTCTACACGAGATACACTGCTCACACAATCTCACACACACTTTATGTTTATTTATTTCCGCTATGCACCATACTCTAACAATCTAGTTAAAAGATTTGGTTTATCTCTGGCTTAGCAATTGTTGTGCTGTGCGAAAAAGTTTGAAAGTCTATTCACCCCCCCCCCCCCCCCCTCTAGACTTTCACCTTACCTCTTTTGGGACCAACAATTGGTATCAGAGCAGGTGCCTATCCGAGTCAGAATTTGTCTCTAACTGATACCAACAATTGGTATCTGAGCCTGTAGCCTATTTGAGTGAGTTTATACCAACCTTTGGCATTAGAACACGTTGCCTAACTGGGTTAACTGTTTTTGACTGCTAGGCTAATCCATTCTACAAAGTGTGTGAATTGGATTAATCTTTCATATCTCTCGTGATGATGATGAAGAAAGATTTAGCTCAAAATCTATTATTCTCTCTTGATAAATTTGATGATTGGAAAGTTCGTATGCAGGTACACGTATCGGCTTTACACGATGAAATGTGGGAAGTTATTTCCACTGGCCCTATAGAAATATTAAAAATCAATACGGTATTTGTTATATCCCCGGATGCTCCACAGTACGTACAAAAGCCAAAACCGGAATGGACATCAGACGATAGAACGCGGAATAATCTTGACAATATTGCCAAGGATATTCTATTCAAAGCCGTTGATGATACAGTATTTCCGAAGATCCGAAAGTGTGCCACTGCCAAAGAAATATGGGAAACTCTCATCAAGATTAGTGAAGGAGATGAACAAGAAAAAGACAATAAGCTCACAATCGCCATGAAGAAGTTTGAAGATTTCAAAATGCTCTCAAATGAAAGTGTTGCAGACATGGAAGCTCGAATGGTCAAAGTTCTTGGAGAGATTAATGATCTTGGCAAAAATATGAGCCAAAAAGAAATTAATCGCAAAATTCTACGAGGCTTACCATCTGCATGGGATATGAAGGTTACGGCTATGCGCGATCACCGAGATCTAAGAATGTTATCAACAGACAAATTATTTAGTGATCTAAAAGCATATGAGTTCGAAATGAAGGCCAAAGATGATGATGTTCATGAAGCTCGAAATACTGCTCTAATGACCGAACAACCGTCAACCTCCAGGTCAGTAGAAAATAATGTTGATTTTATGACTGACGAACAGTTTGCTCTTTTTGTTAAAAAATTTAGAAGGTTTATGCGAAAAGGAGACAACAAAAATTCTGCTCGTGGAAAATTCTTCTCTCGCACCCCACAAGAAGAAAAAGTCGAAGAAAATAAGGATTTGTGCTACAATTGCCGCAAACCCGGACATTTTAAAATAAATTGTCCGTATCCGATCGTTAGCAAGTATCAAGGAAAAAATGTTGAATCTACGCCAAACAAATCCGAAAGCAAAAGGTTCAAGCGCGACAAAAGAAAAGCTCTCGTTAGCAACGAACCAAACGAAAATGATGATTCGGAGGATTCATCATCAAGCGATGAAAGTTCATATTCGGATGATGATACGGCGCTAATATGCAAGTCAATTGAGTTGAGTACAAGTGAAGATTGTCTTATGGCTCTTGAAGCAGAGGAAGAAGAGGTAACATCTAATTCTTTCAATTCTGTTAATTCTTCTTTTTCTCGTGAATCTATTGACAATCTAATGCGAGAATGTCAAGAGATTATGCTCACTCATACTCAACTCAAGGAGCGCAATAATATTCTAATTCTTGAAAAAGAAGAAATGAATAAAAAATTGCAAGATGCTTTACTTGAAGTGAGTAAATTGAAGAATGAAAATATTCATCTTCAAGAAGAGTGTAAAGCTAGAGAGGTTAGAGAACATAATCTTAGAGCTACTATTGCTACGTTCACTAATTCGTCTAAAATTATAGACAAAATGGTGAGCATGCAAAAGCCATCAGGAGATAGAACCGGAATTGGTTATGACTCCACATGTTCTCAAACCCCTCAAAATCTGACTAATTCTACTACTACTTTAAATAATAAAGTTCAAGTGGTAAAATTTGTTAAAAGTCAGAATAGCACAATGAGACAAGGACTTGGCTATCAAACAAATGCAAAGTTGAATGTTGAAAGGCCAAAACAATTCTATGATACGACAAAACAACAAAAATTCTACAAGCAAAGATATGCCAAAGAGTCAAGTGCAAAAAGATTTCATAGAAAAGAGGGAAGCTTTTCTAGAAATAAAGTTGGGAAATTTGATCCCACTCAAAAAGATTGGTTGTGCAATAGATGTAATGCTTTTTATAGACCAAAGCAACCATTCTCTTCCCAGGTGCCAAAATATAAAAATAATTTTCAAAACCCGGAGCCAAAAATATTTTCTAATGTGAGTTATGATTATCGTGTCTCTAATGGTTACAAATCGCCTCATCTTAATTCAATAAGATCAAGGTGGGTTTGGTTACCAAAAATCACTAACAATAAAGGACCCAAGCAAATATGGGTACCTAAAGTTAATTAATCTTTTTTGCAGGATGTTTGGTACATCGATAGTGGTTGCTCACGCCACATGACTAGAAATAAATCATATCTAATGAATTTCAAAGAAATCGATGGACCAAAAGTTATATTCGGAGGAAATCAAAATTATGGAATTACAAAAGGAGTTGGCACGATCAAGAAAAATGGTTTGAAGATTGAAGATGTTTCTTTCGTTGAAGGATTAAAATTTAATTTGTTGAGCACTAGTCAATTTTGTGATAAAGGCTATCTTGTAGAATTTTCTAAAGATAATTGCCTAATCAAAAATGAGCTCACAAATCAGACTATTTTATTTGGAAAACGGCGAAAGAATATGTATGTTGTTGATTGGAGAACTAGCAAAGATTCAGTGTGCTTAATGGCCAGAAATTCAAATGAAGCTAATTGGGAATGGCACAGAAAGCTCAACCACTTAAACTTCAAGACCATCAATCAGCTTGCAAAGAAGAATCTAGTAGAAGACTTGCCAGACATTATCTTCAAGAAGGACCAAGTGTGTGATGCATGCCAATGCGGAAAGCAAATCAAATCATCATTCAAATCAAAGACACACGAGTCAACGTCAAGACCGCTAAGCTTACTACATATGGACTTATTTGGACCGGTTGATCCAATAAGTGTGAGTGGTAAGAAATATACTCTCGTTGTTGTTGATGATTTTGCAATTCACATGGAATTTCTCCTCAATTATCTGCCGCAAGAACACCGCAACAAAACGGTGTTGCCGAAAGAAGAAATCGGACGCTCAAAGAAGCCGCACGAGTGATGATTAGTGCTGCCGGTCTCCCGAAACGATATTGGGCGGAAGCTATCAACACTGCTTGTTACACGCAAAATCGAAGCATGATCCATAAGCAGTACAAGAAGACGCCATATGAGCTATATAAAGGGAGAATACCAAATATTGGTTATTTTCATATTTTTGGATGCAAATGTTTTATTCATATTAATGATAAATTGCATCTAAAAGCTTTTGATGAGCGTGCAGATGAAGGAATTTTTCTAGGATATTCGATCACCAGCAAGGCGTTCAGAGTTTTGAATAAAAGATCAATGGTGGTTGAAGAATCCATACACGTGGTATTTGATGAAAAATCACAGATCAAAAATGATGCACTGGACGAAGAAACTGTACAAAATGGTAACAAGTGTCATATTGATTTTTTGTGATACTAATGATACGTGTGAAGATGATGTTTTGCAGGGAATGGATGAGTTGGAAATTAATTCTCTAGAAAATCCCATCCCTCATCTAGAAGAAGTTGGAAATTCTTTTAATAATAATTTTGGGAGTGATGCCTCACGTGAGAATGAGGATGCATTACAAGTTGGTGATCCAATTAGTGATCAAGTTACTGGTGAAGTTGGTGGTCAATTACAAAATGAATTAAATGTGGAAATTCGAACCAACTCTCCCAGTACACAACAAATGGATCCACCCAGTACCATGCACCCATTTGAACCAGATTTAAGATGGCTCAAAAATCACCCTCCAGAATTAATTATTGGGAATATTCATGAAGGCGTGAAAACAAGATCATCTACCATGGAAGCATTGTTCACGTGTTATCTATCTCAGATTGAACCAAAAGAAATTGACGAAGCTCTCAATGATCCGGATTGGATAAATGCTATGCAAGAGGAGCTCGATCAATTCAAAAGAAATGATGTTTGGGAACTTGTTCCAAGACCGGCGAACCACAATGTTGTAGGAACCAAATGGGTCTTCCAGAACAAAGCAAACGAAGAAGGCGTGATTGTTAGGAATAAAGCAAGGCTTGTCGCAAAAGGATATTCTCAAGAAGAAGGAATTGATTTTTATGAAACTTTTGCACCGGTAGCCCGACTTGAAGCAATCAGAATTTTCCTAGCCTACGCCGCACACAAAGATTTCACCGTTTATCAAATGGACGTGAAAAGCGCATTCTTGAATGGTCTACTCGAAGAAGAAGTTTATGTCGAACAACCCCCAGGTTTTGAGGTAAAAGGCGAAGGTGATAAAGTCTACAAACTTAAAAAGGCATTGTATGGGTTGAAACAAGCACCTAGAGCTTGGTATGATACTTTGTCAATGTTCTTAATAAGCTGTGGATTCACCAAAGGCCTTGTTGACAAAACTCTATTTAGAATTCAAGATGGTGATCATATTTTATTAGTGCAAATATATGTTGATGATATTATTTTTGGAAGCACTAACAATTCTTTGTGTGAGAAATTTTTGAAGCTTATGCAGAATAAATTTGAAATGAGCATGATGGGTGAATTGAATTACTTCTTGGGCTTACAAGTCAAACAACTGAAAGAAGGAGTATTCATCAATCAAGCAAAGTACACACGCGACTTGATAAAGAAGTTTGGCCTTGATGGAAAATCATCGATCAAAATACCAATGAGCACATCAACAAGGCTAGACAAAGATGAAGATGGAAAAGATGTCGATCAAACAAAATATAGAGGAATGATTAGTTCACTTCTATATCTTACTGCAAGCAGGCCGGACATTTCTTATGCTGTGGGCGTGTGTGCAAGATTCCAAGCAAATCCAAAAGAAAGTCACCTCACTACAACAAAGAAGATCATACGATATCTGAAAGGCACAATCAATGTTGGATTGTGGTATCCAAAAGGTACAGATTTTACTCTAACGGGTTTTTCAGATGCGGATTTTGCAGGTTGCAAAATAGACAGAAAAAGCACTTTCGGGACATGCCAGTTCTTGGGGGAAGGCTTGTTTCTTGGTTCAGCAAAAAGCAAAATTCCATCGCAACTAGTACCGCCGAGGCCGAATATATTGCTGCAGGAAGTTGTTGTGCGCAAATTTTGTGGATGAAGCAACAATTGAAGGATTACGGAGTTAATTGTGATGACGTTAGTATTTATTGTGATAATACTAGTGCAATCGCTATCACTCACAATCCGGTGCTTCACTCAAGAACCAAACATATCGACATTCTACATCATTTTATAAGGGATCACGTTGAAAAGAAAAATCTGAAGATCGAATATATCCCTACGGAAAACCAAGTTGCTGATATTCTCACGAAGCCTTTATGCGAAACGAGATTTTCTACCTTAAGGCACGAGTTGGGAATGATCGAAATGAGCTAAGTATCACTGGACTTAATCTCTCTATTTAAATTGATACTTGTGCTCAAAATAAATTGTTCTATATGAATAAATTGTTTTACGTATTTGCATGTATGTTTTTATTCTAAATTTTTATATGATAAAATTGCAATATGTGTTAGGATCTTATTTGTGCATTTGCATGTGTTATTTAACGTAAGATCATATGCCATGCAAATTAATTTGATGAAATGTGCAATTCGTGATTTATTTGATAATTTGTATAAAATTGCATGTTTTAATGTGTTAATCAGTTTTTAAGTATGTGTTCATGTTTCTGTAAATTAACTAACTTGTTTGCATGAACAATTTGCTCTAAAAATGATTTACCGTGTTTATTTAATAATATATATGTGTTATGTGCAAAAATGTGATTTAAAGTGTTAATTGTACATGTGTTTCGTATATATGCAGTATATGTGATATAATTTGCTATAAAATGTTTTAGAAATCAAGAAGTTAATATTTTTATTAGTTTCTAAATTTTTTTGGAATCTGATAAATGTGCTTTTTATATAAAGTTGTTTCTAATTATAATTTAGGAATATGTGTGTTAATTTTGTTAGTTTTCAAAATGTGTTTAATTTTTGATTGGAAATTACCGTGTATGAGTTTAATACAATTGGTATGTGTGATTAATTATTTGTGGAGTAATTTTTGCTACTAACGAGATGTTTGAGTGTTATTATGTTTGTGGTACACGAATTTGAGAAGGAAATCAGGAGATAAAGGAGAAAATTTAGAGTTTAATTGGGCATCAAACCTCCACCCAAAACCTCCTACCCTTTCTAAACCTCCACCCAACCTTCCACCCCCCCCCCCCCCCTCTCTAGACTTTCACCTTACCTCTCTCTCTCAAATCGGCACCCCATACCTTCTCTCAGCTTAATAATATCAATCGTCTCCCACAGAGCAATTAAAACCTAACCCCTCATTAAACTCTCCCCTCTAAACCGTTGCCCATCAAATCTCTTCCCATCCACCGCCATCTCAGCCAATGAGAAGTCTTGCCGCTATCCATCACATCCGTAAACTCTAAACGACGGCAAGAAGAATTAACTCTCCATCGGCAAGTGAACCGATTACACTCCTGACCGCCCTATATATTGGGAGACAGCCGAGACATACCTGTTGTGGAAGATTTTGTTGTTTGAATTTTTGCAGGTGTAAGATGGTATCCAGCGAGTCTCAGGAAACCGAGATAAGGAAGCAAAGTCAGAGAACCTGGGAGAAAGTTCTCAAACAACCCCGAAGGGCAACACGCACGGACGGACGAAAAATGGCAGGAGAAACACCAAGCAACCCTCTGGTGTTAATATCTGATGAAAGGGAGCAAGAAAAGGAGTCGCCACAAATTCAAGCAGTTGCAGAATCACCACCGCGTGAACCGGGCTTTATCTATGAAGAAGATGATGGTACCAAGAAACCATTGGAAGGGTCTGAGCCTCCATTCATGAAGTTCTCCCCGGTTGTTCAACCTGACATATATGCTGAAATTCTGAATATGAGCAATTCAGAATATCTCCAGTATTTAAAACAACTGACTTTTGGACCGGTTCTACCTCCTCCCGGTTTCGGTTTTGATGGGCTCTATCAGCCTCCTCCTCCACCAGAGCCTCTCCCGAAGTTTCCACCAAGTCTGCCAGTTCTTGCACCTCTGCTACAAGAAATCCCTGCTCCTCCACCGCCTCATCAGCAGATGCCACTCAACCCGTTCATCCGTCCTCGAGTGGACTTTACTAGGTTTTTTAATCAAACCTATTCATCTTCAAGCTCAAACGGGTCGATGTTCGAGGAAAGTGAGTCCAGTGGTGACTCAGGACCGGGATATGCTCCTTCACCACCAGGAGGCTATGACTCAGAAGACTGCATGAGTACTGGCTTCTTTGCTTGTTGAAGAAACGATATGTTATCTCTCTCTCTCCCTCTCCTTCTCTGTACGAAGGAGATAAATAAAAATTTTTGATTGTTTTTGCTACTGGTTTTGTCTATCTCTATTTTCTCTCTGTCTCTCTCTCCTACAAAATGAAAAATCCCTACGTATATAAAAAGATCAAAAGTTTCGTAGCCAAAAAGACACACAATATATATATATATATATATATATATATATATATATATATATATATATATATATATATATATATATATATATACATTATGGCTACAAAAGGGATAAGAGAAGAAAAGAATTAAGAGGAGAAGCGTCAGTACGAGAAGAAATAAGAGAACAAGTGTCAGAAGAAAGAAGAAGAGATATACCAGTGGAAGTTGCAGTAGAAGTTGCTACTGAGAGTAGACTACCTATCACAGAGGATTTATCCAGTGTATTGCCGGTACACCATACCGAGTCTACCATGCCTACCATGGACCCTGTTCTAGAAAATGAAGAATTATTTGCAGACAATTACACAAGAACAGAAGTCCTAGAAGAACAAGTTGGTGATCTAAACCAAGAAGCTGAATCACCTGAAGAAGAAGGGATGCAACTTATTGATACAGTTGTTTTCACAGATCCGAATAGAAGTCCATTCGGATCCCCTCAAAACTTTGTTCATATGAATGATCAAGATGATGGCATATTTTCATTCTTATTTACCAAAGTGGCCGAATCCAGTGATGTTGTTTGTCAACCAATTGGAGAAAAGTTGGTTGAACAAAACCAAAAGATGGATCAACAACACACGGATACACGAGTCAATCTGAAGAAATTAATGGAGCATCAAAATATTTTGAAGACTCAGATTGACAAAGCAGAAAGAATTTTGAAAGGAGAATTGACAAAAGGCTTACTTGAGGTGATTCAGCTCATGAAGAAGGAACGTGAAGCAGCTGAAAAGATTAACAACGGACGTCACTTGAGACAAATCAAAGCGATTCAAGATCAAGAAAGCCGAATTAACAAACTTGAAGCTGAACTCGCAGTTACAACAAACAAGCTTGACAACGTGCAAACCGTTTCCATTGAAACACACAACAGTGTTGAAACTGTGAAGGCAAATCAAGATCGAGATTTTAAGACCCTTGCATTTTTGGTTGATATCGCCAAAAGGGGGGAAGAAATTCTCAGTCACTTGGCTTTGCAACAACAAGAATTTATTCTTGGAAGTCAACAACAGCCAGTAGTGTCTACTCAAGGTAGAGGCCGAAGCCGCGGACAATCCTCACAAGGACCATCTCAGATTGGTTTTGCTCAGTTTGCGAATCCTAGTCTTGGTACGAGTCAAAGGTTGCTGAACAGCGTGGCTGGTTTGAATGCTCTAAGGGTACCACCACTCAGACAACAATATGGACTAAGGAAAATCTACCAAGCATGATCAAGAAATGGCCTGCAGTCGATCAAGCCCAATGTATCTCGGAGAAAAATAAAGAAGAAGAACGCAAAAGGAAAAGAACCGAGATGTGGTATGAACTAAGAGATTTCACCGGAAATATGGGCTTGAATCGTGGAGAAGAAAGAAGCTTCGAAGAATGTGTCTTATAGTGGGAAAACGGAGTTCTTCCGGGCAACAATATCAAAGAAGCTTATGGACATTACATGGCTGGATAGCTTACAAAGAAATTTCAGAATGCAAAGTTCAAAGATGATTTCTTCAAGCTCAGAGAACATGTCAAGGAAATTTTAAAGAAAGACTCTGGTGTGAAGAAACCCAGAAGGTAATCTGAATATTCTCTTAAGCTGATATTTTCTATTTTCGAACCTCTGTTGCGTTTTTCTCTATAAATTCGAAATATATCAATAAATATTTCTCATGGTCTATTTTGAGTCTTTAATTTTATTTGTTTAATGTAATTAGACTTTCGTGAATTAAAAGACAAGAAATATGTCAAACGCACGACAAAATTAAAAATTGATGATGATCAAAATAAAAATAATTCAAGATGCGTTTAGGAGCTTGTCTAAAAATTTAATTCACAAGTTTCTTTTGATTGTGTCTAGAAAACCATCTGTTAAACTCATCTTGGCTTTGTCAAATAAAATTGAGCAAAAAGATTATTTTTCAAAGACTTAAAGCCAATGACTGAGTATAGGTTTTGGCATTATCAAAAGGGGGGAAAATTGTTAGGAATAAAGTGTAATGGTTTTGATATGCCAAATTTGTATTTGTAGATCCCCCAATTTTATTTATAGGTCTAGTAGAGTCTTAAGACCATGATCGGGAAATTATTTAATTATGAAAAGAGAAAAACAGAGGAAGATGGATGAAAATAGAAGAAGAAGATATAAAGCCGAAAATCAAGAATTTGTCTGGAGAAAATGACAAATTGAAGAAGAAGATGAATGATACAATAATTCACGTCAATGCTACTCAAAGAAGATATCCCAGAAGTATTTTCGTGAAGAAAATTAATGTTGGAAGAATGCATAAAATTGACTTGGAGATCAAGCATCTATGGAAAGAAAGGAGTACATCAAATATGATTGAAGATTTAATCAAAAGTTGTACGGATGAAGTGGATGATACTTGATATATTATGCGAAATGGCTCAAGTTTGAAACTTACCATCAACAATTTTACAAGGTAAAATTTGAGAAGTCAAATTAAATTAATCTGATAAAGTTGGGCGCTAGTTTAAGCCTTGGGCGCCGATTACAAGTGGAAATTGGGAAGCAATTTCACTTGGGTGGCAATTGAGATGCAATTGCACTTGGGAGCCAATTCAAAGGAATTGGGGTGGCAATTGAGATGCAATTGCACTTGGGAGCCAATTCAAAGGAATTGGGAGCCGATTTCATAGCAATTGAAATTGGGAGCTAGTTCGAAGCAATTGAAATTGGGAGCTAGTTCGAAGCAATTGAAATTAGGAGCCAGTTTCAGAGAAATTGAAATTGGGAGCCAATTGAGGTTGTAGTATGGGATGCAATTGAAATTGGGAGCCAATTGAGGTTGTAGTATGGGATGCAATTGAAATTGGGAGCCAATTGAGGTTGTAGTATGGGATGCAATTTCAAGTTGGGGACCGATTTAGAATTGAAATTGGGAGCCAATTGAGGTTGTAGTATGGGATGCAATTTCAAGTTGGGGACCGATTCAAAGAAGACATGGAGATCAAATTGAATTGAGATGAAATTCAATACCAGGAGAAGTCTAGGAGCCAATTTCGAAGTCAAAGTCAACAAATCAAATTGGGAAGCAATTGAAAGCACCAGGAGTATGGGATACAATTTCAAGTTGGGGACCGATTCAAAGAAGACATGGAGATCAAATTGAAATGAGATGAAATTCAATACCAGGAGAAGTCTAGGAGCCAATTTCGAAGTCAAAGTCAACAAATCAAATTGGGAAGCAATTGAAAGCACCAGGAGCATTTGGGAGCCAATTACAAGTTAAAGTCAATTGGGAGCCAATTACAATGGAGAAATTCAAATTGGGTGCCAATTGAAATTGGGTGTCAATTACAAAGGAGAAATTCAAATTGGGTGGAAGTTCAAAGCCAGTTTGAAGTCTGAGAACACCTAGACGTGAGAATGAAGAAGATGAAGATGAACTTACAATGAAAATATTCTCACAGGGAAAAATACTAGTTTAACTAGTATGGGATTAAATTGATGAATATTTTTAAATCCCAAAGATACAAAGACCACTTCAGAGCTAATCAGAGAAGCTGTTCTACACCCAGATATTCCCACTCAACGTAAAACCAGAGGAAATATCAGATGAAGTTTTAGAACACATTTACATGGAGATGAAGCTCTAACAACGCTAGCTTATCCTTTCTGACATCTTTGCAGAAGATAAGATAAGATCTCTGACAAAAAGATACAAGATTTCAAAAATGAGAGCGTCTCTTTCCAACGGATAGATTCTCATTACCAGCTATAAAATGATGAAGATATGAAGACTTGAAGAGCAGAAGAGCATAACACGAACTTGAAAAGAGATAGAGCAGTTGAGAAAATTCGAACCCATCAAAGGGGAACGAATAGAGCAATTAAGCTTGAAAGAGCATAGAGCAAAAATCTTATTTGGTACAGAGCATACCAAAAATCTTCAAGTGAGAAGTGAGAAAAGAAAAAGAACTCAAAAAGCTTTAAAAGAGAAATATTCTGAGAGTTCTTAAACAGAGCAAAGCAGAGAAAAAATATCAAGTGCTTTACTTGATATATTCAAAGAGAGAAAACACTCAGAGCTATCAAGAGAAATCATTCCAGAGTGTTTATCTTCATCAAAGAGACCTGCGCATCATTGAAGATCATCTACAGAGTCTCAGAAGTTGGAAGCAAGACAACACATGTTTTGGAGCAAAACAAGAGAAGGGAGGAAAGTAGCACGGAGCTGTGAAATCCTGGATTTTCACACGGAGCTGTGAGATTCGAAGCAGCAGTGTCGGAGGCACTGGGCGTGATTGGTGTGGGCTTGGTGATCAAAGCACCGGATCACGGGATACGTTTTTACCGGAGTGTGGAAGACGGGGGGAAAGTAACGCGGAGTCGTGAAATCCTGGTATAGTAGCGCGGCGACGTGAAACCCGAAGCAGCAGTGTGGTGTCACTGGGTGTGATTAGTGCGGGCTTTGTGATCAAAGCACTAGATCACGGAAATTCATTGTATCTTGGAACCAAGGAGTGGTAGATATAGTGAATTGCTCTTGGAGATAAGAGCAAGTGGAGTAGGAGGATTACACCACCTCGCGAACCACTATAATTGTCTTGTGTTCTTTACTGCTTTCTTTACTTACCGCTCTTTACATATTCGCTCTACACGAGATACACTGCTCACACAATCTCACACACACTTTATTTTTATTTATTTCCGCTGTGCACCATACTCTAACAATCTAGTTAAGAGTTTTGGTTTATCTTTGGCTTAGCAATTGTTGTGCTGTGCGAAAAAGTTTGAAAGTCTATTCACCCCCCCCCCCCGCCCCCCCCTCTAGACTTTCACCTTACCTCTTT